GCCGAATCTGGGCTGGGGACCGCTGCCGCCGACGTGCGTCCGCCTGGGAACCGCCCGTGTTGGGAGGGCGACTGGCACGAGAGAGGGTCAGTGTCATTGTCCCGTGAAAAGGGCGGGGTGGGTTGGAAGAACGATGGGATGCTTACCCGCTGTTGCTGCTTCTGCTGCCGCCTCCACCACGGTTGCCTCCACCGCCGCCGCCGCCACCGCGACCACCACCGCCTCCGCCCTTGCGCTTCCACAGTTCAGAGTCGTGCTCGTTGCGGGCGATGCGCTCAACGTTGTGGTGTTCAGGCGCTACGAGGGCGAGGGCGAATGTGAAGGCGGTGAGCACCGTCGCGAGGAAGGTCTGGATTTTCATGTTGGTCTGTCCGGCCCGGTCGGGTTCCTTTCCGATGGGAGTCTCGATAAGCGGTAGGCGTAGACGTAAATGGACCCAGGTGTAGGTAGATGCACGCAGAAGAAAAGTCAAATAGTATGCGCAGCCTTTCTCTGATCGCCAAGGGGGTGCTGTGCTATGCTGTGCTATGCTGAGAAGCAGGAAGGTGTTGGTTTGGTATTGGTGTTGGTGTCTGAAAAATGGTGCGCGGACAAGACTCAGACTCAGCCGCCGCGGGAGGCGTTTGGCCTAATAAGCAATGCGCTGGTGGTGACTGCCCCGACCCAAGCGCAATGGTCGGAGGCGGAAGGAAGGGTCGTTGTTAGCGGGGAAGCTGCAGTGCTGGGCCGCACTTGCCTCGCTTGCCTGGTTTCGGGGCGCGGCTGGTGGGCGTGGGCGTGGGCGTGGGCGGTGCACTTGTGCCTTAGTGGGCCGCCGATGAACCAGTGGCGGGGTTTTGTGGAGATGACACCTCCGTTTCGACGCCTCACAGAGGCGAAGAAGGTCTTGGGAGCTGATACGGCGCGATGCAGAGGTTCTTCATTGACAATGACGTTATAGACGGAGCCTTTCGGTCGATGACGGTATCGAGTGGCGATCCAGGGTCCTGATCGCTGGCACGAGTGTGAGTTGTGAGTGGTATTCCTTCGGGTCAGTACAATGATGCAGAGGATGGTCCTGTCCACGGCTAGAATGACCTCTGAGGTGACTACTGTAGGTAGGCACCGAATATACTACGTCAGTTCGTGTCATCAGCTGTTTGGCCAAGGCATTTCATCCCGTCTTATGGCCTCGTCGTGCCTCGCGCATCCATTTTCCTCAAACGCTCCAGCCCAAACACCAAACTTGAGAATAGTCTTTGAGGCAGCAAACGAGTCCTTTGAGCCACAGAACCTCCGTTTGCGCCATCACGTCTTTGAGCACACAGCTTCTCGGTCGCATTGGCAGCCCAACAGGAACAATTCTTTCTGAGGCCCCCCTGCACCCCACCTCTGGTGCACATCTCGGGCACGGTTGAGCAAAGCAAATGACGCTCTTGGCCCCGAGACCCAGGCCCTGCACGAAAGCGACCTCCCAATTGGGGTTTGGGGCAGCTTTGGGGGCAGTTGTGGGTTGGGCATTTGCTCGCTATGGTCTCGGCACCCGTGCTATCCGTAGGGCCATGTGTGCTGTCGAGCTTCTGATTTGGCGACGGTCCAGAGTGCTGCCTCCATCCCTGCGGACCGTCTTTGTAAGCTTAATAGTGGGCGTGACCCAGTATCGAAGCTGGTGTCACCCCAGTCGAGGCTGGTGTCACCCCAGCCGCAAGGCTGTGTGCATTGGTGTCAGCCGGAACATCTTTGATCACCAGCCATGTGCTTCCATGCCTCGTGCCAGATCTGATTGCCTTGCATGTCCACTGCAAACATGGCCTGATGTTGCTTGACTCTCCCAACCTCCCCTGCAGCCCGTCAAACTGTATGGCTTTCTAGATCCTGCCTTCTTGCGAACCGCACCGTGCGTGCGCCGTGCCTTGCAGAAAGCCTGATGAGCGGAGGAGGGGCAGCTCCACCCACGAACTCAGCTTACCCGACCCTCACCCACGTGCTCGCCTGCCAGCCATCGACCCTCAACCATCTACCATCCACCGTCACTATCAACCTACCCTCACGCGGCGCTTCTTGCCATCCCTGCATTGTTCCCCATTCTTCATCTCCGAAAACAGCTTTCTCGACCGCCCTCATGTCGAGCCGTGACAAGAGCCTCCTCGACAGGCTGAATGCCCTCAAGGGAGGCTCAGGCTCCAGCCCCCACACCAACAACTCACCCATCTCTCTCGACCGCTCAGCAAAGTAAATCTCAGCCCGCTGCTGCCTGCCAGCTCAATCTTGCGTAAGAGAAAGAACAACCCAAGCTAAGCAAAGTGTTTTTGTCACAAAAATACAGTGCCCTCAATGTCTCCGTCGGCATCGAGCCTGCCAAGCCAGCATCGAGAGAAGATGCCCTCGCCGCCCGCCTGCGTTCCCTGAGGAACACACCGGAGCGTGACATACCGCCCGCCACCGCCGCCTCCTCGCAGGCCGCGCCGCCGACGCCGACGCCGAAACAAGCTTCTGCCTCATCGCCGCTGCAGCAGGAGCAGGAGCAGGAGCAGCCCCACGATGTCGATCCACTCCTGCAGACCGACGATCAGACCCTCGAGGAACTCCTCCAAGATGAGGATCCCGAGGCTGACCCCAGGTGGTCCCTTGATCTGGAGCCCGAGACGGCACGCGTCGAGGCTCTTCTTCATGAGCTCTCCAAGGACATCCACCTGCAAGACGACAAGTCGGCTGGTGGAAATGATGCCTCCGAGGCTGAGAACCGAGATGCGGACGAGGACACGGACGGCGAAGAGATGAATCGTGACGTCGACGCGCTGCTAGCGCAGGCTCTCGACGAGGCCGAACTCGATGCGAAGCTCAGCCCAACGTCATACGGCTTACGAGACGGGCCGACGGAGAACCCGCCACGTGAGACGGCAGACGGGCCTCAGAAAGGGAATGCCGGACGCCAGACGCCCGAGGCCGCTGCCTCCCCCCTTTCCCTGCCCTCTGTTCCGTCCGCCATAACCCCCCACCAGGACGTCCACGACGGCGACGACGGCGAACCGTCCCTGTCTCTGCCTTCGGTCCCCTCTGGCCCCGCCAACCTCCTCGCGTCCTTCAGATGACGACTCTCTGAACAGCCCGCATGGCCGCCCTCCGCCTGCCCTCGTCAGACCAAGACGCCGAGGCCGCCGCCGCCGCCGACGACATGTGGCTTGCCCTCCGTGCCCAGCGACCAGCCGGCGAACCGCCTGCGCTCGGGGACGGGCTACACCGATGACGACGCCAAGAAATTGGTGCACCGTCTGCCTCGAGGGATGGCGACGCTGCGGTGCCTCGGCTGCGACGACGACGGCTACTGCACGCGGTGCTGGCGCGAGATGCACGTCGGGCCCGCCGCTGCCTTTGACGACCGCACGCACAAGGCCGTGCTGCTGGGGCGGGATCCGCGGCCCAAGAGGGTGGCACTGGGGGCGTGAGCGCTGGGGGCCTGACGTCCTGTCTGGGCACGCGTGTAGGACCCTGGTGATGTCCTCTGACGTCACACTTGAGCATCATCCGATGTGAAGCCTCTTTTCTCCTTCTTCATCATGTCACATGTCGTCGGTGTTTGGCGCAAGCCAGGTACACGCTCGCAAGTCAAACTGGTACATGTCATCTCGTTGCAGCCGCTCAAGCCAACGCAGTGCGTGTCATTATCCTCGTCATAGCTGTACCTAAAAGAATCACCCGGGACTCCTAGCCATGTACCACCCCGTGCTACAGCCCAAACCGTGTCCGTCCGAATGCCGTGCCAATTCCTCGTGCAACCCGAACCAGACCAAATCCAAAAAAAAAGGAGGAAGGAAAAAAAAAAGCTAAGATCGAATATTCCTCGAGTACGTGTACAACCAAGGATCGCTAGAGATATTGAAGAACAAGAAAAAGTCGACGTGCCGCATCGTTTTAGGTCAAGGGATGGTACCAGGCCAGCCACGCGCGAGCGGCTACTGCGTGGACGCGCCCTGGGTGCCGTAGTCGCCGTTGCGCCCCGTGCGCCCGGTGATGTCCTGCCAGGTGGCGCCAAAGCGGCGCCCGGTGCTGGCCAGCAGGCCCTCCTCCTCGTCGGCCTCGGCGTCCTCGTCGAGCTCGGACAGGTTGAGCTTGGGGGTGCGGAAGAGGCCGGTGACGAAGACGACGAGGAAGACGGCGAGAAAGGCGAACTGGGCCCAGAAGGCGACGGCGCCGAAAAAGGGCCACGTGATGGTGACGCGGTTGAGGAACTCGGACATGACGGACGGCGTGCACACGCTGCGGGCCTCCTTGGACAGGGCCTCGGAGCAGCTGACGACGTAGTCGGGGCGGTCGCGGCAGTCGGGCAGCTCGCCCTGGCCGTGCGGCGCCGAGCACCAGGTCTGGGTGCCGTAGATGGAGTACTGGGGCGCGATGAGCATGGTGATCGAGTAGTTGATGGCGAGGATGATGAGGGCCAGCATGACGGTGGCGATGAGCAGGGCCTGCGGCGCCGTGCGGCCCTTGCGGATCTGGAAGATGCGGACCCAGAGGAAGCGGATGCCGACGGCGGCGATGCCGGTGATGGAGCTGCTGAAGAGGAACAGGACGAGGAGGGTCATGAGGATGTAGTCGACGGGGAAGGCGCGAGCCGACTTGAGGAAGACCCAGTTGATGGGCTGGAAAATGTTGAGGTGACCGAGGATGTAGCCGCAGCGCTGCTTGCAGAGGGAGTTCTTGGCCTTGTCAATGCCCGTGATGAGCATGGAGACCCAGATGAAGAGGGCAATGAGGAGCAGGAGGATGCCGCCGAGCAGCTTGACGGGACGGAACACGGCGCAGACCTTGAGCCAGACCTGGTAGATCTTGCTGCGTCCCTCGCCCGAGGCCTCGGCGGCGATGCGCTCACGACGGCGCAGCGTGCGCTCCTCGCGCATGAGGGCCTCGAGCTCGCGGCGGTCCTTGGAGGGCATGCCGTCCTGGCGGCCCGCATTGCGCATCTCGAGCTGACGCTGGCGCTCCTGGTTCTGCTCCAGGGCGGTGGCGGTCGACTCGGTGAGCTGGGGCGCCGAGATGGCGGGTGCCGATTTGATGAAGGACATGGGGAGCAGGGCCAGTCCGGCGGCCGTGTAGACGACGTAGAGAAGGGTGCCGAGGGTGACGAGGAGGCCGAGGGTGAACGCCAGGGCCTTCTGTCCATTGTTCTCGGCGAGGAGTCGCTGGAAGTAGTCGAGATCCCAGCCTGCCTTGGAATCGTGGCCGGCGGCGGGCACGAAGAAGCCGACGAGGAAGAGGATCAACACGAGAGCGACAAAGACGGCCGTGTATTTCAGGGCGCTGACAAGACGGGCGGCAAAGGGTCGGGTTCCCTCCTCGTCTTCGATCTCGTCGTACTCCTCGTAGAAGAAGTAGGTGAAGGGGATGACGAGGAGACACAGCAGGGCGTCGAAGCTGTAGAGCGAGTAGTAGACGATGCGAAGAGTCTGGAGGATGTTGTGGACGCGACTTTCGGTGGCCCAGTCCTTCTTGACGCCGAGGGTGGCCGATGTCGTGGACGACACGAGGGCAATGTCGACAGGCAGCAGGAGGATGGTGGCGAGCAGGGCGGTCAAGCTGACAATGGCGACAGTGCTGACGAGGGCCGATCGGTCGCGGGGGGCTTGCCACGTGAAGGTCGTGATGGAGGCAATGAGGAGGCAGAGGGCGATGACGGCGGCGTAGGTGACCCAGATCAGACTGGTCTGGAGGAGGCCGGCGCTGGCCATGGTTGTCACGTCTGCCATGATGCGGGTGTGCTCTATGATCTGTGCTCTGGTGGAAGCTGTCGACGAGGAGAAGAAGATGTAGTTGAGCAAGGTGGGTGGTGGGAGGGGTTCGTCGTTGTGACTGACGTTGGAGAGGAAGGTGGAAAGAGTGCGTACTGAGGAGGTAGAAACCGGCCGGGGTGAGCTCTCGCAGCTCTTTTGGGCCCACGGGCTATTGCCTGGGGTTTAGCTTCCTGGTTCTTGGCGAAGCTGCACCAGTGACGCAACAACACAGAGCTAGTGTGGAACGCATGTGGCCCGTGCGTGTTATCCTCGGGAGATGTTCGGCGCCTATGCCTGGCGTACCTGTTACATAGTACTTCGTCTGGACGGCACTGGGCATCTCCCTTTGTCGAGAGACCTTATGTAATCATTCAAGGTAAGACGGGTCCTCGCTGAGCTCAGGCACGAGGAGCTCTTTCTTGTCTTGGGTCTTGCTTGCTCAAAAACCTCCCCTCCGCGACGACCCATTGGATCTACACAAGGCTACGACTCTCCTCACACTTGCCACGAGGGCATGAGGGAAGACGCCAACAGCACTCTTCTCGGATTCTGACGCCATCCCCGACACCCAATGCGCCCGAGAACTGCCCGATGAACTGCTGCCCGCCATGCAGTGCTACACCGAGCTCGTTCCCCCGACGCTGGTGACCTGCTCCGTGTCGCTTCCCTTCACCTCGGCCAAGACCGAAAACCTCATCGTCTCCAAGGGCTCGCTGCTTCAGATCTTCGCCGTCAAGACTGTGTCCACCGAGATCGACACGTCGCAGATCCAGGCCAAGTCGTCGAGCAAGGCTGGCGAGACCTATGACAGGCGCATCAACGACGACGATGGTCTCGAATCCGCTTTCCTCGGGGGCGATGGCATGCTCATGCGCGCCGACCGCACAACCAACACACGTCTCGTTCTCGTTGCCGAATACCCTGTCCACGGCGTCATCGCAGGCCTGGCGCGCGTCAAGATCCAGAGCTCCAGGTCAGGCGGCGAGGCTCTGCTCGTCCACAGTCGCACGGCGCGGTTGAGTCTCCTGCAGTGGGACCCCGAGAAGCACGGCGTCGAGGACGTTTCCATTCACTTTTACGAGAAGGAGGAGTGGCAGGGTTCGCCGATGGACGGCCCCCTGCGACAGCACGCCTCCATCCTCCAGGCCGACCCGCAGTCGCGATGCGCCGCCCTCAAGTTCGGCGCTGCGCAAGATCGCCTTCCTTCCCTTCCGACAGATCGACGGGGACATAGACATGGATGACTGGGATGAGGAGGTGGACGGCCGCGGCCGGAAGAGGAGCCGCCAGCAGCTGCGGCCGTCAATGGAACTAGCAGCAGCAGCAGCAGCGTAGCACCTGTACCATACACTCCCTCCTTCGTCCTCGCGCTGCCCCAGCTTGATCCTGAGATCCTTCACCCTGTGCACTTCGCCTTCTTGCATGAGTACCGCGAGCCCACCCTCGGCATCATCTCCTCCAGCAACCGCCGCCTCAAGATGGAACCCCAAATGGACCACTTTACCTTCAAGGTCTTTACCGTCGACCTCCTCCAGAAGGCCTCGACCGCCATCCTCACCGTCTCGAACCTGCCGCAGTCATTGAAGAAGGTCGTCGCTCTGTCGAAGCCCATGGGGGGCGCCCTCCTCATCGGCGAGAACGAGCTGATCCACATCGATCAGGCCGGCAAGGCGCACGGCGTCGCCGTCAATCCGTACGCCGCCAAGATGACCAAGTTCCCCCTGGCAGACCAGTCCGAGCTCAAACTGCGACTGGAGCACTGCGAGGTCGAGCTCATGTCGCCTGACAACGGCGAGATGCTGCTCGTGACGCGGCACGGCGAGATGGCCGTCGTCACCTTCAAGATGGATGGCCGCAGCGTCTCCGGCGTCAGCGTCAAGGTCGTCGCCACGGAAAATGGAGGCGACATCCTTCCCTTCCGGGCCGCGTGTCTGACCAAGGTCAGCAAGAACAGTATGTTCTACGGCACGATCGGGGGTGACTCTCAAGTGATCGGCTGGAGCAGGCAACATGTGCAAACGGCACGGAAGAAGGCGCGTCTGTTGGATGAGTCACTCGACTATGACCTCGACGAAGATGAACTGGACGACGACGACGACGACGACCTGTACGGCGAAGGCACGGTGGCCCCTCAACCTTCGGCTGCCGCTGGATCGGCCAAGGGCGGAGACGTGGTATTTCGCGTTCACGATTCGCTGCTCAGCCTGTCCCCCATCATGGACATGGCATATGGCAAGACGGCCTTCTTCCCCGGCAGCGAGGAGGCAAAGAACTCAGAAGGCGTACGGTCCGAGCTCGACCTCGTTTGTGCCGTCGGACGGCATCGCGGGGGTTCCCTTGCTCTCATCAACCAGCACATTCAGCCCAGGGTCATCGGACGCTTTGAGTTTCCGGAAGCTCGTGGCTTTTGGACGACGCGCGTGCAGAAGACGATTGCCAAGTCACTCCAGGGGGAGAAGGGGGCCAATCTGGCCGTCGGCAACGACTACGGATCTGTGACGCAGTATGATAAATTTATGATTGTGGCCAAGGTCGACTTGGACGGCTACGAAACGTCCGACGTCTATGCACTCACGGGTGCAGGCTTTGAGGCTCTGTCTGGCACCGAGTTCGACCCCGCCGCTGGACTGACGATCGAGGCCGGAACGATGGGCAACGATATGAGGATCATTCAGGTGCTCCGTTCTGAAGTCCGTTGTTACGACGGAGGTGAGTTGCTTGCACGCGAACGAGTATCCCTTTCGGTGCTGACCGGTTCCAGATCTTGGTCTCAGCCAGATACTTCCCATGCTGGACGAGGAGACGGGCGCCGAACCGCGCGTTATTAGCGCTAGCATCGTAGACCCATACCTTTTGCTTCTGCGCGAGGACTCGAGCATTCTTGTCGCCCAGATCACGAATCACAACGAGCTGGAGGAGCTTGACAAGGAGGACGAAACAATCGTCTCCACCAAGTGCTCAGCGGGTGTCTCTACAAGGATTCGCACGGCCTCTTTGCACCCGTGCAGACCGGACAAAGGGGGACGTCGACCCAGCGAGAGCGTCTTTCAATGTTCTTTGCTCAACGCGACAGGCGAACTCCATGTAAGGATATGCGTACATCTTGTTTCCAGACAGACCAAGCTAACCGGCCCAGGTTTACGCACTGCCCGACCTCTCAAAGCCCATATATGTCGCCGCCGGGCTTTCTTACATCCCATCCCTTCTTTCCGCAGACTACGCCGTCCGCCGAGGCACCAGTCCTGAGACTCTGACCGAGATTCTGGTTGCTGACCTCGGAGACTCTACCAGTGCATCCGCACACCTGATTGTAAGTTGAATACCCTTAAGTCTCCACAGGGGGGCAAACGCAACACAGAATTCTGACTCTCCCAGCTACGACATGCCAATGATGACATGACAATATACGAGCCGTTCCGGATCGGCGGTCAAGAGGAAAGGAAAGGCTTGGCCACGTCTCTATTCTTCAAAAAGGTGTCCAATTCACACCTCGCCAAGAGCCCGGTCGAGGCTGCTGAGGATGAGGCCGTCCAGGAGAACCGTGTGATTCCTCTACGAGCTTGTGACAATATCGGTGGTTACAGCACCGTCTTTGTCCCGGGAGCATCCCCATCCTTCATCCTCAAATCTAGCAAGAGCACACCCAAGGTCATCGGCCTTCAAGGCCTCGGCGTCAACGGCATGAGCTCCTTCCACACGGAGGGCTGCGAGCGCGGATTCATCTACGCCGACTCCAAAGGCTGTGCTCGCGTTACGCAATTTCCTGATGCCGCCAACGTGGCCGAGCTTGGCGTGTCTGTCCGCAAAGTGCCCATCGGCACGGCGGTCAGCCATGTGGCGTGGCATCCTAACATGGAGGTCTACGCTGTGGCGTCTAGCAAGCTCGAGTCCTTTGAACTGCCTAGGGATGATGACTACCACAAGGAGTGGGCCAAGGAGGAATGTCCAATGCCGCCTATGAAGGAGCACGGCAGCATCAAGCTGTACTCGCCAATTACCTGGAACGTCATTGACGAGTTTGAGCTGGAGCAGTACGAGGTCGCCATGTGCATGAAGACGTTGCTTCTCGAAGTGTCGGAAGAGACGAAGGAGCGGCGCATGCTCTTCGCCGTGGGCACCGCCATCCTCCGCGGAGAGGACCTGCCGGTCCGCGGCCGCATTCTCGTCTTCGACGTCGTCCATGTCATCCCACAGCCAGACCGACCCGAGACGGACCGCAAGCTAAAGCTCATCGCCAAGGAGGAGATCCCGCGCGGCGCCGTCACCTCGCTCTGCGAGGTGGGGCACGCAGGGCTTGATGCTGGTTGCTCAAGGCCAGAAGTGCATGGTCCGGGGTCTCAGGAGATGGCACGCTGCTGCCGTGGCCCTTCCCGATTTGAGCACCTACGTGGTCGCCGTACACGAGCTGCGCAATACGGGCTACTGCCTCATGGCAGACGCCAACATGGGCGTGTGGTTCGTGGGATACTCGGAGGAGCCCTACCGGATGACGCTCTTTGGCAAGAGCGGCACGCAGCTCAAGTGCCTGACGGCTGACTTCCTCGTTGCCGGCAACGACCTGAGCATCGTGGCGTCTGACGAGGACGGCGTGCTGCATATCCTGCAGTTCGATCCTGAACGTGAGTTCCAAGGCATTCCTTTTTCGTTCTTTCTTCGTTTTCCTTTCTCGAACTACTACTTTTGCTCCCACCCCTGACAACTTCCCACACATGTCTAACAACCGCGCAGACCCCCGATCTCTCCAGGGCCACCTCCTTCTGAACCGTGCCTCCTTCTCGGTGGCCCCGAACCACGCGTGGGTCACCCTCGCCCTCCCTCGAACAACGACCCGTCCCTACCTACCTCAATCGGAGCCGGCCACCAACGCCGCCGGGTCCCAGAACCGCACGCAGACGCTCCTCCTCGCCTCGGCCTCCGGCGCCATCGCCTCTCTGAATCCGATCACCGAGCACGCCTACCGCCGCCTGACCTCGCTGACGACGTCCCTCGCCAACGCCCTACCGCACGCCGCCGGGATGAACCCCAAGGCTCACAGGCTGCCGCCCCAAGACGGCGCCGCGCGCCCGCCGGCCGTCGACGTCTCAGCCGGCAGGACCATCGTCGACGGCGCGTTGCTGGCGCGGTGGAACGAGCTCGGCGCGCGGCAGAGGGCTGAGGCCGCCGGCAAGGGCGGCTTCGCTTCGGCCGCCGACGTCAGGGGGGAACTCGAGGACGTGCTCGGCTGGAGGGGAGTGGACTATTTCTAAGCGGCAGGGAGGGTTCCCGTCGGGTATTGAAGCATGGTCCTTAAACGGCGTAGTCCTGTATGTATCATAGACAAAAGAAAAGAATTCGAGGCGTGTTTGTGAACAAACCCTGCAAGCATGTACGCATGCGAGAGAGTGTGAGAGAGAGAGAGTGGAGAGAAGTGGTCCGCGCCCATGCGAGAGCGCACGCATCAAAGTCCCCGTCGGCCAGCTACTCGGTCAATACCTTCCTGGCCAGCATCGCCTCCCCGCAAGAAACACTCGGTTCGTCGATCTGCCCTGAACGGATTTGGGGCTCGTGACTGACTTGTTCTGCCCTCTACCCCCAGAGCCACGCGCGTACTGGGCACTCGGACGGCCCGCACGGAAAGGATGCGGTGCTACCACTTGGAAGGATTGCGGCACAGCGCTCGGCGGACCGATTCCGAGGACTAGTCGCGTCTATCCGTATGGGCGTGACGTGTGTGTGTGGGGGGGGGGGGGGATTCTCGCCCTCTTTGGACGGAGAGGGTAGGCAGAAGAAGAGCCTTTGCAAGTGTTCACATTTCTTGAAAGCGAGCTTCAACTCTAGCAACGCCGACCGCGGCCTCGGTCACGGCGTGTGAGGAAGGGATCACGAAAAGTTTGGCTGCAGCCCGGCCCGTTCAGCGAGAATTGCCTGCCTACCTTACCTACCTTGCGGTTTGACGGGGGATTTGGCCACCCAGGTCCGTCCACTCGGCGGCACTCTCCATTTAGCCACGGCGGCCCGACGTTGAACGACGCGCGCAGTACGGCTAAGGGTTGCTTGAGCCTTCGGTTCGCCACGGCGTGCGGATGCTGAGGAACTTATGCTCGCGCCGTGCCAGGGCGCATTGGCATCCCTGGTCTTTCGTGGTCGTTCGCGGTTCTCACAGTGAACACGAGCAGCCGTTTGAGTAATGGTTTGCGCATCTCACCCCCATCTGCCTCTGGAGCGCCTACATTGAAAAGCCGTCGTGACAGGGGACCCTGAACACGGCGTAACTTTCGGCGTGCCTGCAGATCCGCCGGGAGCACGCTGTGGTCGATCTACAGGCATAGCAATCCATGCTCCCCACGGGGAACAAACAACCACTTGGGGCTCAAGACATTTATAAATCATACCGCTCGTAGATATTGCTGCTTCTCTTGGTCTCGTCTGGTCAACACGATTGAGTGAAATACACCGCCATGCAGACTCTCCTCACATTCGCCCTCACGGCCGCTCTGTTGCCAGCTGGCCTCGTCGCCTCTCCTACGTGCACTGTCGAAAGTTGTCTCACCGCTGCCTCCGTTCCCTGGCTCGATGACACCGCCCCCGACTGGACCGTCTACACCTCACCCTACAATCTGCGCCTGCCGGTGGCCCCTCGTCTCGTCGTGCCCGCCACGAGTGTAGCCCACATCCAGGACGCCGTGCGATGCGCCGCGCGCCACGGGCTCAAAGTAGCGCCCAGGAGCGGCGGGCATGGGTACGCCACGAACGGACTCGGCGGCGAGGACGGCCACGTCGTCATACAGCTGGATCGCATGTTCGGAGTCAGACTCAGGGATGATGGGACGGCCATCGTCAACGCCGGATCCAGACTAGGCCACATCGCTACAGAGTTATTCGCACAGGGCGGCAGGGCCATTTCGCAAGGACTCTGCCCGAGGTGAACTTCCAAAGCTCGTGATATCCCGTTGAGGAAAGCTGACAGTGCAACAGTGTCGGGATGGGCGGACATGCTGCTCACGGAGGGTTCGGGTTCAGCTCGCACACGCATGGACTGACGCTCGATGCCGTCATCGGGGTGACCGTCGTTCTCGCAGACGGATCTCTCGTGCATGCCTCTGAGAAGGAGAACGCCGACCTTTTCTGGGCGCTTCGCGGCGCAGGGTCGTCGTTTGGAATTGTTGTTGAGTTTGAGGTCAAGACCTTTGCGGCACCGAAGGAGGTGTCATGGTTCGCCATCGCGTCCAATCTTGCCGTCGACGAGGAGACGGCTCTCGCGGGAATCAAGGGCTTCCAGGACTTTGTCGACAACGACATGGCCCCCGAACTCAACCTCCGCCTTTCGTTGACCAACTACTTCGGCTCCTGGGATAACAAGCTCGAGGTGCTGTACCACGGCAGCGAGGCCGATGGCAGGGCGGCGCTGGAGCCCCTGAATGACCTGCTCAAGTTTGACTGGACTTCGGAGCGGACAAGTGTTGGATCAGGCGACTGGATGGCGGGCGTGAAGCGCTGGGCGGACGGGTTGACGGGCCCGTCGGTCAACATCACCTTCCCGTACCAGCAGTCCGGCGCGCTCTTCTTCGCGACGAGCCTGATGACCAAGAAGATGCCAGAGGCCTCGTTGGAGGGTTTCGTGGACTACTGGCAGAACCAGGGGCGGCAGCCGCGGGCCTGGTTCGTCCAGATGGACGCCCACGGAGGAGCGAACTCGGCTGTAGCGGCCGTACCAAAGGATGCCACGTCGTACGTGCACAGGGATAAGTTATGGCTGTTCCAGTACGTCATTCTTGCCACAGATGCGGTGGATCGGGAGCCTTATGGTTTTCTGGATCGCTGGATCGACGCCATCACCGACAGCATGCCAGACAGCGACTGGGGACGGTACGCCAACTACATCGACCCCGAGTTGGGCCAGGAAGATGCCCTGGAGCAGTATTACGGACAACACCTGTCGAGGCTCGAGGCGATCAAGACAAAGGTCGATCCGACAGACCTGTTCCACTTCCACAGGGCATCCTGCCGCAGTGAGGGCAGATGTACTCGGTGGCTGAGGGAGATAATGAAACACCACAGACGTAATGTAATGAAGAGAGTGCAATCAAGAGACTTCGTCGTCGTCGACAGCGGTGAGAGTGATTGTCTTGAATGCGGGCCCGAGCTGGTCGTAGCGTCGTTGGTGCAGGCGAGCTGGCAGTGCGGACGCTTCAGGCGAGACGTGTAGCTCATCAAAAGCGCTGCCGGCCGAAGTCTGTTCCGAACGCATTTGCAAGACACAGATGTCGTCGGTGGCCTCACCGGCCGCTACATGTTCCCAGTGCGACCATAGATGTAGGTTGTCGTCGTGCTTCCACATACCAACCATGACGGGACCGCGACGCATGTTGACCATGTGGACGGCTGCTCGAAGGTGCTGGTCCGCGGCAGTCTTATTGCTCGAGAAGAACTTGCGTCTAGTCAGCCCAGGTTCACTTTCGACTGTTCTTGAAGAACTGGTTACGGGAGACACACCTCTTCTGAAGCCATGGCCAAGGTTTTCGTTATCGTCATATCGCTCACGTTGTTCCCCTCGCGACTGATGCTGTCGCTGAGGTAGCGCAGACACTGTGCTTTGTAGCGCAAGGCCACGGGTTCGTAGATCGTCGAGTGCTGCAGTTTGGCGAGGCTCCGACAGGCAACGAGGAGAATAAGTGCCAGCATGCCCACGTCGATGGCGGCCTGCCGAGTCCAAGTGATGGCAGAGCCAAGCGTGAAGGCGTCATTGCTGAGGTGGTGCAAGCAAGGTTGGGCAGAGAGGTCGTTCATGACCACATGCTGGATAACTAGAGCGCACCATCAATGACTGAGCGAGACGAGTCACGTTCATACGGTCTCATGCCCTGCCGTGCACTCACAGTGTTTGAGCAGGTAGCCTTCGAATGGAGCCACGGGGCGGATGAAGCTGTTGAAAGGGTCAGGCCAGACCGAGCTCAGCAGAGTTCGGGGGCTGGGGATCAGCTTCCCGATGAGAAGGCTCGGAAGAAGCTCAAGGACTTGGCCTTCGGCAGCCGAAGACCTGTCAGCCTCGGAGGTCTCAGACACCATGACAGCTGCGTCCTTGTGTTGGGGTTGGTCTTGAGCTCGGTCTTGAGCCTGCAACTCGGCAACCTTCTCACGCCGGGCCTTGGAGTTCCTAGCGGCATGCGCTCGAACTTTCTTGCGGTGGTTGGCCGCCTCCGCTGGGTTGAAGATATGGACAAACTGAAAGCCGCCAGGCGCCCATGGTTTACGAATGGATCACACCGAGATGGATGAAGAAGAATCAATGAAGGAACCAGGAGAATGAGCATTATCCTTTTTGGGAAAACGCTCAACCATGTAGGATGAAAGTCCGGGAGGCACAAGATTAAGTACCTCCCCGAGTTGCCTTCTATACGATACCTATTCAGCTGGAAGGAGATGCTGTGATGCTCCTGTCCATGTGACTGCATGGTGCTACCCGCATGCTGCTCATCGCAATCATC